TATTGCAAACAATCTTTAGTACAGTATCAAAGAAGTATGTCAGTAATTATCTGAAAAAGCTATTAAAATATGGATTTTTCCTACTACACTATTTGTGCAAGGCTAGATTTTCTTTACATACTTCATCCAAAATGTATCAACTGTCACACAAAAGATTGGTTGGTATACATGGTGATCTTCTCTTTAGCCCATTTTCTCATTAAATTTTTAAAATTACTTTCCATAAAATAGCCATTTACTCAACTTGAAGTTTTTACAAATCTGTTTTAATTTCAACTACAGTATCACAGGTATAGCTCATGTGAACAATATCTATTATTCCTTAATAATTTTTTAAAATTTAAAAAAATCCACAGTGGCCCAGCTCAGTACCCTAATGGCTAAAGTTCTTGCTTTTGCATGTGCCAGGATTCCTTATAGGTACCATTTTTTTTTTCTTTAATTTCATGGCCCGGCGCTGTGGCCTATTGGCTAAAGTTCTTGCCTTGAATGCACCAGGATCCCATATGGGCGCCAGTTCTAATCCCAGTGCCCTACTTCCCATCCAGCTCCCTGCTTGTGGCCTGGGAAAGCAATCGAGAACAGCCCAAACCTTTGGGACCCTGCACCTGTCTGGGAGACCTGGAAAGAAGTTACTAGTTCCCGGCTTCGGATCGGCGCAGTCCCTACCGTTGCAGTCACTTGGAGAGTGAATCATCACATGGAAAATCTTTCTGTCTCTCCTCCTCTGTGTATATCTGACTTACCAATAAATAAATCCTTTAAATAAATAAATAAATTTATTTTATTTTTATTTGAAAGTGAGATGTACAGAGAGGAGGAGAGGCAGAGAGGAAGGTCTTTCATCAGTTGATTCACTCCCCAAGCAGCCGCAACAACCACAGCTGGGCCTATCCAAAGCCAGAAGACAGGTGCTTCTTCCAGGGCTCCCGCACGGGTGCAGGGTCTCAACGACTTGACCATCCTCGATTGCTTTTCTAATGCTAGGGACTCCACTTCCCATCCAGCTCCCTGCTTATGGCCTGGGAAAGCAGTCAAAGATGGCCAAGATTTTGGGAGACCCGGAGGAGGATCCTGGATTCGGATTAGCACAGCTACGGCCAATGTGGCTGCTTGGGGAGTGAATCAAGAGACTCAAGATCTTCCTCTCTGACTTCCCAATAAAAATAAATATATCTGGGCCCCAGTTCTAATCCCAGCAGGCCCCGCTTCCCATCCAGCTCCCTGCTTGTGGTCTGGGAAAACAGTGGAGGATGGTCTAAAGCCTTGGGATCCTACGCCTGTGTGGGAGACCTGGAGGAAGTTCCTGGCTCCTAGCTTTGGGTCAGCTCAGCTCCAATTATTTGGAGAGTGAACCATCAGACAGAAGATCATCTTCTCTCTCTCCTTCTCTCTGTATATCTGACTTTCCAATAAAAATAAATAAATTTTTAAAAATAAATAAATAAAACAAAATCCAGAGAGCAAGAGATCCACTATCCCATGCTGTACTGGCTTCCTAAACACTCCTGCCTCCAGATTCACATCCTCCAATCATCCTACTGTCCTATTCACCAGCTCAAACTTAGTTTCAAGGATTTAGCTAAACAGTTACATTTTAACACTTTATAGCAAATAATTCTTAACATTTATTATATCACTGCATATAAGCAGACAAGACCTACATCTATGCCATAATGCCATCAAATATTTGAAACAAAAAATAGTAGAATCACACAGCATCACATTTTTTTTTAAAGATTTATTTATTTTTATTGGAAATGCGAATATACAGAGAGAAGGAGACAGAGAGGAAGATCTTCCGTCTGATGGTTCACTCCCTTAGCTGCCGTCCTGGACTGCTTTCCAAGGCCACAAGCAGGGAACTGGACGGGAAGCAGGGCAGCTGGGATTAGAACTGGTGTCCATATGGTATCCTGGTGCATGCAAGGCAAGGACCTTAACCATCACATTTAATTACATCCATTTACGAGCTCTGGTGTCCCTTGTACAGAAATGGATACTGATTTACACAATTGCCTACCTGGTTCAAACAAGAACCAAGACACTGATTTCTCCCACACAAGCTACCACAGAAATAAAACCAGAAACTAAAGAAGGCATTTCTATGACTCTTAATTTTCAGCTTCCCAATACCAAATAATCCGAACAAATGCAATTTATTAACCAACTATAAACTGCAAGAAAGATAAAAGCAGGATCTTACTACTACTATTAAGAGTGTTTTTGGGACCCCGCATGATAGCCTAGTGGTTAAAGTCCTCGCCTGACACGTGCCAGGATTACATATGATCACTGTTTTTTGGCCTGGTGGCCCCACTTCACATCCAGCTCCGTTTGTGGCCTGGGAAAAGTTGAAGGTGGCCCAAAGCCTTGGGACCCTGAACCAGCGTGGGAGACCTGGAAGAAGTTCCTAGTTCCTGGCTTTGGATCAGCATGGATCCAGCCATTGTGACTCTTGGAGAGTGAACCAGCGAACGGAAGATCTTTTTCTCTGTCTTTCCATCACTCTGTATATCTGACTTTCCAATAAAAATATTAAAAAAAAATGTTTTCGGAGCCAGCACACACAGCAGGCAAATACTCTGCCCTGTGGCACCCATGGGTGCCAGTTTTGTGTCTTGGCTGCTTTACTTCTGATCTAGCTCCCTGCACCCCTCTGGGAGATCCAAAAAAAGCTCCTCCCTCCCAGCTTTGGATCGGTTCGGCTTTAGCCATTTCAGCCATCTGAGGATTGAACCAGCAGATGAAGACCTTCTTTCTCTTTATATAAAACTCTTGTCTTTCAAATAAAAATAAATCTTTATTTTTAAATGTTAAAAGAAATTTAAAAAGAACACTTTCACTAGGGCAGTGGTCTCAATCAAGGGCAATTTTGGCAGTTTCCTGGCCGTGTTGACTTGGGAGGTGTCAGGTGCAGCCAAGGACAGAATACAGTAATATTGCTGAAAATCCTAGACTACAGAGAGAGCCCATCATAATAAGTAAATGTCTGGCCCAAAGTATCAACAGTGCCAAAGAAATCTTGCTCTAATAGGTGCCAAATACTTGAGATCACTTTCAGACCCAAAGCATACCCCAAACTTGCAAGAAACGCTTTCCTGCTGTGCCTCTGATAATGACTATTAAACCTCTGAATATTGTAGTTATCTAATCTTTCAACCAATTACACAATTAGTTATCTCTTCATTGAAAATTCAACATCAGTCCCACTGTCTCTACTTCTTACATTAGTAGCCATCATGTAAATATTACAATAAAGAATATAAACAATCCTTCCCAAGCTTTGGATTTAGCTTCCTAAAAATTTTGCCTTTTACCAATCTAGGAACTAGTAGACATAAAGGTACAACTTACATATAAACAATATGGTTTATATCCTTATCGGGAACTAAACTGCAACAGCATACAAATACCTAACTTTACTGGCCATTTTTAGTTTAGCTCCTGTGTGTTTATTCTGAAAAGAAAGGGCCTACTATGTGCGAAGCTACCTGAGTTTACAAAACAAAAAATTTATTTTAGTATGGTTGAATACAAAATGGCATGTGCTATAAATAGAAGTACCAAATAAGTGTTAGGGAAGCTTCTAAGAGAGAACGCCAGGGAAGGTTTCCCAGAAGAGGGTGACGCTTTAACTGAGAAAATGTCACAGAAAACACACTGTTCACATTTTAGTATTTACACTACAGTTCCCTTCTGCTCTTACGCACTACTATGTTTCAGTTTTTGCTTTGTCATCTAAACAGCAAAGTGACAATCTGACGGAAACAGACCAACAAGCTTCTTCAAAGCTTAATGAGCCAAAATAATTTTATCAAAATTTTCTAGTGCATTCATCTTGTTCCATCTCCAACTTTGCTTACACACAGTCTGCCCCCCAATTGTTAAACTGTTTCCTTATCAATTTCTCAGACTGAGAGAGGGAATGGTCACTGCTCTTTTCTTTGGTTCTTCTAACTTCAGTTTCTAAGAAAGGAGTGTAATTTCCTGGCCCTACACTACTACAATACCTAATTCTGAACTCTTTACCTGGGTGGACCCAAGAGTTCCAAGGTACAAGTACACAGCAACTGCTTAGCTTTTTCTGTCTTGTGATGTTCCCTACAACAATGTGGTTGTGTAACTGTACTCTGAATCCTAGGCAGCTAACACAATCCAAAATACTCATGTTTAGAATAGGAAACTAGCTGAAGATGCCTAGTTACCTATGGATTCCTTTCACCTCACTGACAGTTTCAAATCCATCTTTAGTAGTCTCGGTTAGGAATATTACTACTGACGCTTCTACCTTGCCTTGGCTTTTTAAGTACCACTACCCAACGCCTCTACTCTCGCTCCCCAAGGAAATCCTTAATTAATCAAGGCAGACTGGAAGCTCCATTCAGAGGGTGAAGTAATAGCAAAAATATCTAAACTGAGTCGAGAGACCTGGCATTCGCTTAATGCTCTTACTCTGAGCTTCAGTTTCCCCATCTATGAACTGTGGACGTGATGCAGGATACGGCAACGGATTATAAATGAAGTCTAAGGTCCTTATGGGCACACACATCCAGAAACGCAGTATGTTTTCATCAGGCACGATACGGAACACGTGCAAGAAAGAAAGGACCCTTTCCCTACCTAGAACCGATCCTAATTCTTAGATATCAAGAAAAGCCAACAAACTTCCGACTCAACCTCCCCAACTCTCGGCCTGCCCATCCCGCACGACCATCACCGGACTCCCCCCGGCGTGCCCCAGCGAGGCGCCGGCCCGCGCCAAACCAATGAATGAGTACAATCGAGGGATGGACGCTCCCCCGCCGGAGCCGGGACCCCACCGAGCACACCGAGCACACCGGGAGCCGGCTGTTTCGGCCCGTTGCTCCGGCCCTCCGCGGCGCGGGACTCGGGAGCGCCGAGGGCCTGGGACGCCCCGCGCACCCGCCCGCCCCGGGGAGGAGGAGCCTGCCGGTCCCAGGCCGCCGCCGTCGCCGCCGCTCCGGGTCCCGACTTACCGCGCCGAGGTGGGGGAGGGGGAGCGTCGAGAGTCAAGGCCCGGGCCTGCCCGCCACCCGCCGCTCACGGAGCAGCGCGAGGCCGCCGAGAAACCGCCGCCGCCGCGGCCGCCGCCGTCACCGCCACCGGCCGCCACTGGCCGCCACCGGCCGCCACCGACCGCCTCCGACCGCCGCTTCAGGCGCAGCGCGCACAGGGCCCGACTGCGTCACACGCCGCCCGCCGTCAGAGGCTCGCTCCGGGAGCTCCGCCCTCGCCGCCTGCGCATTGGCAGATGAGGCCGCCACTCTAGGTTAGTCCTCTTGGTCATTGGGCACTGAGTCTTTTGAAACCGAACGTGAGGGCGGTCTTTGGGAGAAGTGGGGGGGGGAGAAAGGAGGGGCAAATGGAATTAGGGAAGAAAAAGGGGAGGGCCGGTGGGAGGTACGCGGGGTCCCGCCCCCGCGCAGCCGCGGTTGGCTGGGAGGGAGCCGTGACGTCACACAGGGCCCCTGTTGAGGGCTAGTGAGACTGGTGTGCTGCAGGGCGGGAGGTGGGATATGGGAGTGATGACGCTCTGTGCGGACTCCGCCCTCTTCCGTCGAGCGGAGAGACTCGGGCTGCGGGAGCTGGGGCCAATCAGAGGGAAGGCCCCAGGAAGGCATGGTAACTATTCTACCCTTTCCTTGCCCCAGTCGGTGATGGGAAGGCTTCCTTGTCGCACTTGTCACACTTCCTGGCCAGACCACGTGCGGAGCCGGAGGCCCTTGGTGGGAGGCGTCTGTGTTGGCTAAGCTGTCCTGAGGCTGTTAGCAGGCCCCAAATCCCTACGTGCTGCCCGCACCAGCACACGCTGCTTCCCTTTCTCTGTCCCTACATTAGATGTTTATGGACATTAAAAATCCTGTAGGTGACTGGCCCAACCTTAGATCTAGTACAAATAAGGATTCTTAGAACTTCTTTCCCTCTGAATGTTGAGAACCCGTCTTGCTCTTGAAGGCCTTGTTCAAATGTGCCCACAGTGGCTGACCTGGCCCACCCAGCAAGCTGGGCTAATGATCTATTAGGACTCTATTACAACCTTGTCATTTTGTATCCTATCATTTACTCTACGTAGGTTTTCTTTGCTCCGGGCTTTTGGTGGTCAGAGCTGCACTTTCATCCTCTCGCTGGTCTTTTCCTACCAGGGCCTAGCCAGGGACAGGCACCTGATTTTACAAGGAGGAGAGGTGGTGGCTGAAGCTGACACCCAGAACAGTAGGAGCTGTGATTGGAAAGGAGAGCTAGCAGTCCACCTCTAAACCACCACTTCTTACCAGGCTATGAAAATTGAAGAGAGCTTTGCCTAAGGCTTAGATGAAGTTAAATCTCAGATGAATTTAAATTCCAGTGGTAGCAAGGAATTAGCAATAATGAACTTGTTATAAAGTGGAGTGGTAGAAGGATGGATGTTGGGCCTAGCAGTGAGGATGCTGCTTAAGCTTGTTTGTGTCCAGTGCCAAAGGGCCTCTGGGTTCATTCTAAACTTCTGACTCCAGTTCTCTGCAGTGCAGTTTCTGGGAGACAGTGGTGATGGTTCAAATACTAACATTCCTGCCATCCGCATAGCATACCTCCATTGAGTTTGTAGCTCCTGGCTTCCACGTTGGCCCAGTCCTGGCCTTTGCAGGCATTTGGGAATTGAAGCAGCAGGTCAGAGTTCTCTGTGATTGTATCTGCATGTCAAAGAAACAAAATTAAATGGAGTGGCTGTAAAGATAGAGTAAGATTGTGGATAGAAGAAACAATGTTGTATGCATTTAATAGATGCCTGAAGGAAGAGAAAAAAATGAATGGTTGGTCAAATAATAAAGCTAGTTTAAACATCTGGCTGTGGCCACCAGCTCCCACAAATCCTCCACTCAAACACCCCTCCTCTCCTATTGTCCTCCTTTGTCTTTACGTGAGAAAATTGTTATCTCTCCTTGGAGAGGTAGAGTAGCTTGCTCTTGCCCTCAGAACTTTCTAAGGCTAAGAACCCAGCAGGTGCACTTTCCATCCCTGGTGCATGAGCCAGTGATTTTTCAGTAGTAGTAACAAGTAAGAAATACTGGCCTTTGGAGTTACACAATGCTAAGTGTAAAATTGTTCCCAGCCATGTACTAGGTATATGAACTTGGGGAAATTGTCCTGGCCCTCTGAACTTCAGTGTCCTTGCCTTTAAAAATGGAGATAACGACTGTACCTGTCTCACAGAATGGTTATGAGAAATAAATGACAATCTATACGTAAGCCCCTTGAATAGCACCTGGTATGCAGTGAGTCCTCCACAGTGATAGATAATGTTTGTATTTTTTGTAGTATGCCACGGTGTTGCAATTCTCAGTCATCCAGGACATGGGTTCTAACACGAAAAGGGGACTCAGCACTGTGTCTTGAGGGGGTGAGTTAACAGAGTGCCTCCTGTCCAAAGGACCAGAAGGAATGCAGAAGTGGAACCCTTGAATAGTACATCCTTGCAGGAAGCCTGGAGGATGCATGGGACATGGGCTGCAGCAGGGAGAAATTCCCCATAACCATGGTAATTTCTAAAGAACTCTTGTTAGGTGCTCCTGCCAGGCATAGCAACCACATGCCCAGGGAGTTCTTACTGGGGAAATACAAGCCTTCCTGGCACACACATTCCTACTCTAATTGTCATAAGACCTGTTTGGGTCATCAGCATCTTCTTTCTTCCACTCTAAAGACACAGATTTTCTGCTTGCTCACAAATGCCTGATTAGCCAAACCTGGTCCTTAGCATCAGGAGCCCAGCCATGTTCAAGCACAGTGCAGCTCTGGCCAAGAAAGAGCTTAGACAAATCCAGCTTTAGAAAAGACAGGCTCTTGGGAGCCACCAGTCTCTCTAACGCATGGTCGTAGAACTCATCCTCGCTGGGACGGATGCTGCTCCAGAAAGAAACACATCTATAAGCATCACTGAATCATGAGAAGTCAAGATACTGTGCAATCTTCCAGAGTATGGGTTCTAGATTCCTCAGATGTTACACTGCAAAGAGCAGCAGAGCTGATGTCAAGTTCTAGATCAGCTCACTGTAAGACCCTGTACAAATTAACAATTGTTGCTCCAGTTTCCTTACTTCTGAAACTGGCACGATACTTCATATTTTATAAGGTGCTTCTGAAAGTCAAATAAGGTGGTGGAATTTGCAAAGGACCAAGCCGGTGCTTGGCCCATTATAAGTACTCTGTAAATGTTGATTCCATCCTCTTGTCCCAAGACTTCATAAGGAAAGATGAGGTGTGTAAATAACACGTAATGGCATTTTTACAAATTCTACGTGAATACCTTTGACTTGTAAACAACATATCCAGCTCATTGCATTTAATCAATTTCTTAATATATTAGGGATTTTATCAAATATTTTATACTTTATTCAGTCTGCTCTGTCTCTCTTGCTTAGGTTTTTTTTTTTTAAGATTTATTTATTTTTATTGGAAAGTCAGATATACAGAGAGGAGGAGAGAGAAAGACCTAGCCGATGATTCACTCCCCTAGTAGACACAACAGCCAGAGCTGCACTGATCCAAAGCCAGAAGCCAGGAGCTTCCTCCAAGTCTCTCACACGGGTGCAGGGTCCCAAGGCTTTGGGCCATCATTGACTGCTTTCCCAGGCCACAAGCAGGGAGCTGGATGGGAAGTGGGGCTGCGGGAATTAGAACCAGCGCCTATATGGGATCCCAGCACATTCAAGATGAGGACGTTAGCCACTAGGTTACTGCGCTGGGCCCTAGTTTTTATTTTTGTAAATAATAGCTTCCATTTGTTGAGGCCAAAGTCTTTGCCAGACTTTTTTTTAAAGATTTATTTTTTATTATTTTTTGATTGGAAAGGCGGATATACAGAGAGGAGAGACAGAGAGGAAGATCTTCCGTCCGATGATTCACTCCCCAAGTGAGCGCAACGGTGGATGCTATGCCAATCCGAAGCCAGGAGCCTCTTCCAGGTCTCCCACGCGGGTGCAGGTTCCCAAAGCTTTGGGCCGTCCTCAACTGCTTTCCCGGGCCACAGGCAGGGAGCTGGATGAGAAGCGGGGCTGCCGGGATTAGAACTGGCGCCCATATGGGATCCCGGGCGTGCTAGGAGAGGACCTTAACCACTTGCGCCACCGCGCTGGGCCCACTGAAATATAATCTTCACAACCTAAACGATTCACCCTTTTAAAACATATAATTTAGTTGATTTTGATGCACTCATAAGGTTGTGCAACCCTCATCACTAATTTCAGAACATTTTCTTAATCTAAGAAACCCCATTAGCAATCACTCCCTCTCCCCACCTTTTTCTAAGCCCCATTATCCACTAGTCTTCATTATGTATGGGCTTGCCTGCTCTCAACATTTCATATAAATGGAATCACACAAAATACAGTCTTTATATGTGGTTTCTCTCAATTTTTTCAAGATTCATTTATATGTAGCAAACATTAGTGTTTTATTGCCTTTTAAGGTCAAGTAATATCCCGTTGTATGTTATCTTTTTTTTTATCCATTAATGAGCTGATGAACATTTCAATTGATTTCACTTTTTAACCACTATGAATAATGCTGCATGAATGTTCATGTAAAAGATTTTTGTAGATGAAGATTTTCAATTTTGTTGGGTTTATATCTAGGAATGGAATTGTTAGATTATATGGTAACTTTTTTTGGTCCCATTTGTCGAGTGTGATTTTATTTTATTTTATTTGAAACATATAACAACAGAGACAGAGCACTCTTCTATCTACTGGCTCACTCCCCAAATGGTCACAACAGCCAGGTCTGGGGTTGACTGACTCCTGAAGCCAAGGACTCTATACTGGCTTCCCACATGAACTTGGACCATCTTGTGTCTTTTCAAGCATGTTAACAGTGAACTGGAACAGAAACAGAAAATTCTTGGTAGGAGAATGTTGAATTGCAAATGGCAGCTTATCCCGCTGGGCCACATGTCCAAATTCTTTACTACTAATTTTATGTATTGACTTTTTATTAATTTAAGATTTATATTTTCTTATTGGAAAGGCAGATTTCCAAAGAGAAGGAGAGACAGAAAGGTCTTCCATCCTTTGGTTCACACCCCAAATGGCTGCAACGG